GGTAGGAGGAGTAGGAGTGGTAGGAGGAGGAGTATGAGTGGTAGGAGGAGGAGGTTGGTAGGAGGAGGAGGAGGAGGAGGAGGAGTGGTAGGAGGAGTAGGAGTGGTAGGAGGAGGAGTATGAGTGGTAGGAGGAGGAGGAGGAGGTTGGTAGGAGGAGGAGGAGGAGGAGGAGGAGTGGTAGGAGGAGGAGTATGAGTGGTAGGAGGAGGAGGAGGAGTGGTAGGTGGAGGAGGAGTAGGAGTGGTGGGAGGAGGAGGAGGAGGAGTGGTAGGAGGAGAAGGAGTAGGAGTGGTAGGAGGAGGAGGAGGAGGAGTGGTAGGAGGAGGAGTTTGAGTGGTAGGTGGAGGAGGAGTAGGAGTGGTGGGAGGAGTAGGAGTGGTGGGAGGCGTAGGAGTGGTGGGAGGAGGAGGAGTGGTAGGAGGAGGAGTATGAGTGGTAGGAGGAGGAGGAGTATGAGTGGTAGGTGGAGGAGGAGTAGGAGGAGGAGTATGAGTGGTAGGTGGAGGAGGAGTAGGAGTGGTGGGAGGAGGAGAAGGAGGAGTGGTAGGAGGAGGAGGAGGAGGAGGAGGAGTGGTAGGAGGCGGAGGAGTATGAGTGGTAGGAGGAGGAGGAGGAGTGGTAGGTGGAGGAGGAGTAGGAGTGGTAGAAAGAGGAGGAGGAGTATGAGTGGTGGTAGGAGAAGGAGGAGGATGAGTGGTAGGAGGAGGAGGAGCAGGAGCAGTGGTAGGAGGAGGAGCAGTGGTAGGAGGAGGAGGAGCAGGAGCAGTGGTAGTAGGACGAGGAGTGGTAGGATGAGGAGGAGGAGGAGTAGGAGTGGTAGGAGAAGGAGGAGGAGGAGGAGAAGGAGTGGTAGGAATAGGAGGAGGAGTAGGAGTGGTAGGAGGAGGAGGAGTATGAGTGGTAGGAGGAGGAGGAGTATGAGTGGTGGTAGGAGGAGGAGGAGTATTAGTGGTACACTGTAAAAAATAAAATCTTTAAAAAACGGTCAATGACGGGCAGCTACGGCTGCCAAACAAAAACCGTAAAAATAAAGTAAAATATCCTAATTTAAATTGAGTGCAAAAAACTTTTCCAAACTTTGTCCTTAAATGTTTTACAGAAAAACACTGTTATTTTACAGTTATTTCCTGAATTATTATGATCAAACACTTTTACTGTGAAAAAAGGTCAAATGACTGTCAGCAATGGCTGCCATACAAAAAACCATAAAATGAATGTAAAATATCCTAATTTAAATAATAAATACTATTGCAGAATTCTTCATTAAGCTTTTTAACAGAAACACAGTTATTTCACAAATATATATATATACATTTACTGAATTTTTACTAAAAAACATATTCACTGTAAAAAGTAAATATCTTGCTATAAACTACATGCATGATTTACTGTGATTATACGTCATCAGCATCTACACAGTTACTGTCTGTTAAATAAAGCAACACACAGCAATTCATCAGTGTTTCTCTGCTCATCCTCGACTGAAGCTCAGGCTCTACTCTTCAACACAATGGCGACACACAAAACACACCATACAGAAACACTTTACATCCCAGCAGAACATTAAACACTAACAGATCTCTCAAGATCTCAGCATCTTCACTTATTACAAGCCAGACTTCTTTCATACTAACATTCTTATTGAGAAATAACAGAGGTTTAGAAGGTGATATTTTATTGAAAATAATAAAGTTTGATGTCACCATGATAGAGGTCAGTGTTGGCTTTAGTTGGGCTCTTGACCCTTCATATATTAACATTAGTTTTTCTCTTAACTGTGCATGTCTTTAATGCATATATGTTATTGTAGGAAATCGAGAGAAACTCAGATCAGATGATGTTGGTCACTTAATAGTGATAATATTCATTAAGCAGTTGTCTGCTGTATTGATACCACCTGTTTGGTATGACTTTTTAATGACTGATTAAGTTGTAAAATGTTAATTTTGAATGGCAGTATTGCTATAGAAGACCCTACAATGCTGTTATATAAGATTTTATGAAGTCATTATGCAAACAATGTTTGCAGAGTCCACAAGTTTTCTTTAAGCATGAAAAGCTCGGCAGCAGTTATGAAACATATAATATGAAACATAGTCAATATGAAGAATATGACAAGAGAGACGAAAAAAAAAAAAAAAAAATACTCCCTAGAACAGTGGTTCTCAACCTCTCCTGCAGGGACCCCCTGACAGGCCATGTTTTTGTTTTAACTCTGAAATGGCACACCTGATTCAAGTAATTAAAGGCTTAATGAGTAATTAGAGTAGGAATAGTTCAATTAATCAATTAGTCAACTACTCATTAAGCCTTTAATGACTTGAATCAGGTGTGCCATTTCAGGGTTAAAACAGAAACATGGCCTGTCAGGGGGTCCCTGCAGGAGAGGTTGAGAAACACTGCCCTAGAAGAATTGGCACATCTTCATAAAATATATAAATCACACTTTATAAAGCTACTTGTCCAGATAACAAGAATACTGATACAATAATAATAAAAATAGTAAGAATAATAATATAGTGGTTTCAACAGAAACGTATTAAAAAAAAAAATATATATATATATATATATATATATATATATAAAAATATATATATAAAAAAAGGCATACACATTACAAAAAATAAAAAAAAAATAAAAAAATTTAATAATAATAATAAAAAAATTAAAATAAAAAAAAAACTTAAAAATGATATAACAAGGGGAAATTGAGGCAGATTATTCCATCATTGAGGCAGATTATTCCATCATTGAGGCAGATTATTCCATCTTAGAGGCAGGGGAGCTCTTCAAAATATCTTATAAAGGGGGACCATGTGTCTTGAAACTTACGTTTCGAACCTCGAATCATGTATTTAATCTTTTCGAGTTGAATGTAAGACATCACTTCTTTCAACCAGCTTTTATGTGTTGGAGGGTCTGCCTTTTTCCACTGAAATAATATTAAACGCCTTGCCAGTAATGTAGTGAAGGCAATAACAGAACGAATATCTTTCCTGAGTTCTATACCCTCGGGAGCAACACCAAAAATGCAAATTAAGGGATCTGGGTCAATCTGGATGCCATACATATTTTTATATGATTCGAAAATCCCTCTCCAAAATTCCTCCAATCTAGGACAGAGCCAGAACATATGGGCAGTTGTGGCAGGCGATTGCGAACACCTATTGCATGCAGGGCTAACATTCGGGTAAATCTTAGCTAGTCTGGAGTTAGTGAAATGAAGCCTATGAAGAACCTTAAATTGAACTAAGCCATGCCTCGCACAGGGTGAGGAGGAGTGCACCTGATTCAAAGCACCTTCCCATTCTCCATCTGTAATTTCTCTCCTTAAATCACTTTGCCAAGCTTTGCGGATCTCATCCAAGCTCTGTGGATCTATAGATGTTATAATAGAGTATATGCTTGAAATGAGTCCTCTACTATGCGGTTTCAGATTAAGCAATGTATCCATAGGCGAGGTAGGGGGTATTCCTGGAAATGGGGCAAAAACTTTCTTGATGAAACTCCTAATCTGCAAGAATCTAAAAAAGTGTGATCTTGGTAAGGCAAAATTACGTGCAAGCTCTTCAAAAGAGCAAAAAGTGTTATCAAAATGTACATCTCTTAGGAGCCTAATCCCCCTCTCCTCCCAGACACGAAAAGCAGAGTCCACATAAGATGGTGGGAATAGACAGTTAGAGACCATAGGACCTAGAATGGAAGCTGATTGCAGACCAAAATGTCTTCTAAATTGGGCCCACATTTTTAAAGTATGAGTCAGTACAGGATTGGCGGCGGAGATATAATTTTTCCCCAGCAGGGGGAGTGAAGAGCAAATTAGTGAGCTAAGTTTGAAGTTAGCACATGATTGTTCCATTTCCACCCATGAAGGGGTATTTTGAGGATCTACACTAGATAGCCAAAAGATTATTTTTTGAACGTTGCTTGCCCAATAATAAAATAAAAGATTAGGCAGCGCCATCCCTCCCTGACATTTTAATCTCTGCAAAAATGTCTTTCTAATACGAGGGGTCTTATTCCCCCACAGAAAGGAGGTGATTAGACTGTCCAGCTTAGTAAAAAAAATCTTCCTAATAAAAACAGGTATATTCGAAAATAAATACAAAAACCTTGGTAAAACAGACATTTTGATCAGGTTTGTACGACCTGCTAAAGGCAGGGGCAGAGAGGACCATTTCACAAAATCATTTTTACATCGATCCAAAAGTGGACAAAAATTGGCCTTAAACAAATTATTAAACGATCTTGTGACTTGCACACCCAAGTATTTGAACCCCTCACGTACTACTTTGAACGGGATAGAGGAAGAGTTTGTACAAGAGGCCGGGGTGATCGGGAAAAACTCACTCTTACTCAAGTTAAGCTTATAGCCAGATAACTTGCCAAACTCCTTTATTAGTGAAATAATTTGAGGTATTGAGGAGGTTGGGCTTGATACATATAATAAAACGTCATCTGCATACAATGAAATTTTATGCTCTGTACCATGCCGCGTAATACCTTTAAAATTTGCTGACTGACGGAGGGCCGCAGCCAAGGGTTCAATTGATAGGGCGAATAACAAGGGAGAGAGAGGACACCCTTGCCTGGTGCCTCGATGCAGAGAGAAGTATTCAGAGTATACATTGTTTGTGCGCACTGAAGCAGTCGGGGAGGTATATAACAATCTAATCCACGAGATTAAGTCTGCAGGAAAACCAAACTGTTTAAGAGTGTTAAAAAGGTATTCCCACTCTACTCTATCGAAGGCCTTTTCAGCGTCGAGGGAGATTACTGCTTCAAGTTCGCCTGGGGGAGAATTTGTGTATATTATATTATATAGTCGTCGTAGCTTGTTAAATGGGTTACGGCCTCGAATAAATCCTGTTTGGTCAATCGAAATTATAGTAGGGACAATGGGTTCAAGGCGTAACGCAAGAATTTTGGATAAAATTTTAAAATCCGCATTCAGAAGAGAGATTGGTCTGTATGATTCGCAATGAGTAGGATCCTTACCCTCCTTTGGGATAAGAGAAATTGAGGCCTGTGTGAGCGTTGAGGGAAGAGTTCCTGTATTGAACGACTCATTATAAACAGCCACAAGAAGCGGGTCCAGTAAGGCTGTAAACTTCTTGTAAAATTCTATCGGGAATCCGTCAGGTCCCGGAGCTTTACTGCTCTGCATTGCCGCAATAGCCTGCGCGACTTCTGCTGCAGCCACAGGTCTGCCTAGGTCAGAGTTAAGGTCAGAATTAATAGTTGGTAAATCTATTTCTTTAAAGAAGGAATCTAAAATTGCAGAATCATTTGGGTACTCTGAGGTGTATAGGGCAGAATAAAAATGAACAAAACTGTCATTAATATCCTTCAGATTATGTACCATGGATCCAGATGGGGCCTTAATATGAGTTATCATTTTAGAATTATTTAATTGACGAGACTGAAAAGCCAATAATTTACTGGCTTTGTCCCCAAATTCATAAAATGTATGCCGCATTTTTAACAACCTCTTCTCTTCATGTGCAGTTGACAGCAAGTTATACTCGGACTGAAGACTTATTCTTTCTTTGTATAAGCGAGGGCAGGGAGAGATGGCGTACTGTTCATCTAACCTGTTAATAGCTTCTGAAATATTTCTGAGTTTAGAGAGTTCTTGCTTTTTAGCATAAGAGGAGAAAGAGATTATGTTGCCCCGCAAATACGCTTTCAATGCCTCCCATAATACAGATCTAGATAAATCATGCCTGTCATTTAGCTCCAAATACATATTTATCTCTTTAGTTAGAAAAATAATGAATTCTTCATCTGCCAAAAGCAAAGTATTTAGTCTCCAGGGTTTAAAAGAAGAATGCTGAGTTGGTAAACTAAGCACAAAAGAGGAAGGAGCATGATCAGATATAACAATGCTATGATACCTACTAGATGAGACAAGGGGCATGATACTCTTATCCACTAAGAAAAAATCAATGCGACTATACGAGTGATGAACAGGAGAGAAAAAGGAGAATGTTCTGGAGGAAGGGAAAAGAAATCTCCAGGGGTCTAATAATCCAAATTGGTCACAGAAATGTTTAATGTTTATAGCTGCCTTAGAAGGCATGACTCTAGAGGAGGATCTATCCAGTGCTGTGTTCAGAACGCAGTTAAAGTCCCCACCTATAATTAAAGCATAATCATCAGCAGGTGGGATAGATGTGAAGACTTTGCTGAAAAAATTGCTATCAGCAAAGTTTGGGGCATAAATGTTAACAAGGATAACTTGTCTGTCGAGTAAGCGCCCTGTGACGATAACGTAGCGACCAGAGGAGTCACTAATAACCTTTTCACTGGTGAAAGAAATGCTCTTCTTAATAAGAATAGCAGTGCCTCTGCCTTTTGCATTAAAGCTCGAATGGAATACCTGTCCCCCCCAACTCCGCCTAAGTTTAATTACATCTGAGTTAAGAATATGGGTTTCTTGTAGAAAAACAATGTCTGCGCTTAATTGTCGCAAGTGAGAAAAAATCTTGTTTCTTTTAATGACATTGTTCATGCCTTTAACGTTCCATGTTATAAACTGTACATCACATTTATTAAAGTTGGACATGTTATCAGAAAGTAGTTGTAAATGAATAAGGCAAATAAAGTGAATCTGTTACAACACAACGATGAGCACCTTGACTCCGAACAACGTATGCTGAGAAAAAGAGAAAGAAAAAAAAAAAAAAAAAAAGAGAAAAAAAAGAAATGAAAAGAGAAAAAAAAAGAAAGAAAAAAAAAAGAAAAAAAAAGAAAAGAAAGACCCATTGATTCCCCTCCCGCCCCCCTCCCTCAAACAACAAACATCTGCTGGTATACTAAGAACCATAACTCACCAGCTCGTGTTCCTGCTCCTTGAAGCTAAGTTGCTATTGAAATAGCAAAAATAAGTGACATTTATATGAACAAAAGAGTGTGGATCAGTACAAACTTAAATGAGTCTCTTCGTTCTCATCACCCACTCGAGCCATACAGAACCTGCGCTCAGCGGGAACCAAGGTGGAGTCACGTAGATCTACATTATCTGCAGTGATGTGAATTCCTACTCACTCGTTGAAGGGGGGACAATCCCCCTCACAAATTCCAAAGCCCGCTGCGGAGAATCAAAAAATTGTTTCGTTCCATCAATGCTGATCCGTAGACGCGCAGGGAAAAGGAGGCCGAATTCAATTCCCGCTCCTCTAAGCTCAGCCTTTACCTGGTTAAATGCCGCTCTCCGCTTTGCAACATCGGCGCTAACATCTGGGTAGAAGTGTATTCGCGATCCTTTGTATAACACCTGTCCCCTTTCTCGTGCCAAACGAAGAATCAGTTCCCTCATCTGGTAGTGATGCATTCGCACGATGAACGGCCTGGGGGCTTGATTAGCTTTCGGCGGGGGAGCTAGAGAGCGGTGAGCCCTGTCCACCTCCGGTTTTTTGGAGAAACTCTGTTCACCGAATACCTCGAGTAACAGTGTTTCAATGAATGCAGAAGGATGAGAACCCTCGGAGCCCTCGGGGATACCGATCACACGAATATTGTTCCTCCTGGATCGATTTTCCAAGTCATCGAGTTTGGCCCTCAGTTTTTCATTATCTTTCGACAGCACTGAGCACGTAGATTCCAGGGCAGTAACGCGACCATCCACGTCGGTAAGGGATTCTTCCACATCCTTCAGTTTCTGTTCTTGCTCTAGTAATGAAGTTTTCACCGCAGAGATAGATGATTTAAGCTCTGCAAGGATCTCCACTCTGAGCGCCGCTACCTCAGATCTAATCCCGCCAAGGAGTTCTCTGATATCATCCTGGCTCGAGGCGGCCTCGTCCACACTCTGCAAATCGCCAGCAACCTCAGTAATATCGGCCGTCTTTTTAGTGTTGTTTCTCGGCATGATTCTACTGAGGATCGCGAATAGTAGTTCAAACTATGTCACCCAATAAATGTTGAATAAGTCGTTAAATAATAAGAAACGCGAGGAGCAGAAAACTTTACGACTTCTCACGCCGCCATCTTACCGGAAGTCAGCCAAACAATGTTTTGACAGGATCATACAGACTCACTCAGACATCAAGAATTAGCGTATGAATCTCAACAATGGTGACAATGAAAAAAATTTCTGACCTATTATAAAGTCACAAAAAGGCTTTGTTGATTGTCACCATTGTTGAGATTCATATGTTGAACAAAATAAACCAACTCAGAAAATTTTATGTAGAATATATATATTTTTTTTATTTGAGATTGCAATAATACTGATCCCACAATATTTCAACAAATCATGTGAAAACAGTATGATAATAATTGCCTTTGTATAACACTGAAGTCTATCTACATATAATGTATTCACAGCTAATAGAGATTTGACTGTCATATCAATGAATCAGATCATCATATGATGACTATAAAATCATCAATAAATGACCAAGATCATCTTATATTTTCTCTTGCAAATATTGCCATAATAAATGTGCATCAAAACACAGTTATGGCAGCCAGAGAAAAAGTAATGTTGAAACTCAAGAGTCATGAGCCCTACTAAAGCAAACACTGATCTCAATCATGGTGACATCCCATTTCTATTAAAGTTTTTTTTACACTTTATTTAAATTAGGATATTTTACTTTAATTATATGGTTTTTGTTTGGCAGCCGTAGCTGCCAGTCATTTGACCTTTTTTTTACGATTTTTTTACAATGAAGGTATATGATCATAATAATGCAGGAAATACCTGTGAAATAACAGTGTTTTTTTTGTTTTATTTGAATTAGAAGATTTTACTTTAATTTTATGTTTTTTGTTTGGCAGCCGTAGCTGCCAGTCATTTGACCCTTTTTTTACGATTTCTTTTAAATGAAGGTATATGATCATAATAATGCAGGAAATACCTGTGAAATAACAGTGTTTTTTTTTTGTTTTTTTTTGAATTAGAAGATTTTACTTTAATTTTATGGTTTTTGTTTGGCAGCCGTAGCTGCCAGTCATTTGACCCTCTTTTTACGATTTTTTTTTTCACTGAAGGTATATGATTGTTATTTTACAGTTATATCCTGAATTATCACAGTGTTTTTCAGTTTATTTAATTTAGGATTTTTTACTTTAATGTTACAGTTTTTGGGGGGCTGCCAGTCATTTGACCGTTTTATCATTTAACTGTTTTGTTAAAGTTTAATTACAGATTATATTTGTAATTTTACATAAATTTTTATGTAATTTAAGAAAACAGAAAAAATACTGTATGAAAAATACAATCAATTTCCTGTATAAAAAAAATGTGAATTACTGCAATTTGTCATTAATGTCACAATACCTAAAATAACAGCTGAATTTTTATTTTACAGATATTATTTGTAATTTTACAGTGTTTTGAGTACAATTTAAAATGAAAGAAAATGATCGTCAAAAAATCACAGTTATTTTCTGTAAAATTAAGATTTTTTTTTACAGTGTAGGAGGAGGAGGAGTATTAGTGGTAGGTGGAGGAGGAGTAGGAGGAGGAGGAGTATTAGTGGTAGGTGGAGGAGGAGTAGGAGGAGGAGTACTTTATTGCTAAACATTCTTTGGTTGTCTTGACAATACATTTTAAGTTAAAAAGACCTGTTACTCATTAGATACACAACAGTTTTTAAGTTGAATTTAATGGAAGCAAATTAGTTATTAACTTAAAAAGTTGATTTACCTATTTTTTCAAGCTGCAATGCATGCTGGGAACTAGCACAACATTGTTGAATGCAAAACTGTTTGTTCAAATAACTCAATTTGTAAAGTTGGAACAACATTTGGACAATATTTGGAGGTCAATCCTCAATCTTATAGGTCAACAACAAAACTTTTGTTATAAATGTAAAAATAGCTTGAACAAATATTATCTCGGTTTATTATCTTGAGTGAACAAAACAAGAATGCTCTAAACATGTTGCTAACAAAACTTGTTTTGTTGACCTTTTGAGCTCACAGTATGAGTGCCCACACAGATAACAGAAATGTTCTTATAAGAATGTTCTCCAAACACACAACTGACTTCAGCCACAGCCTTAGAATAAATAAAAGAAGACATTCAATCTCTGAAGATCTCAGCAGAGGATTAAACAACTCCACAAACAGCATTACCAGCTTCACTTATTACTAAACAGACTGACTTTATTTCTGTCAGACAGAAGTCTACAAAAGTTCTTTTTGAGAATAAAC